TGTCTGTGGGAGGGATAAGGCACAGCTGTTGTGTTACGTCTACAGTTGCACTCTCACGGGACAGGGACTTCCAGTTTGGGCGAGGCAATCTTGTTCCTAAGGTTGGAAGTCCCTGCTCTCTGTCCTATTTGCTTGGCTGGCTAGGTTTCAGCTCTGAAGCCTGGTGTTGCCGTCGCGTGTTACTAACATGGCCCTGTGTTTAGTTTCCCACGCCCACGAGCCCGGATGTTGAGCCATGGAAGTGGCTGGAGTAAGTGCTCGAACACATGCTTACTTGCTTGCAAGCGACAAACTCAATCTGCACTTTCTGTCAATGCGTATGTTTGAAGACCGGCGTCAGAAAAAGTTTCGCTGCAATAATATGCCATTTTTCTTTTTTAAGCTTGGTTCTGTAATGCATGTTGTCAGACTCGCCGACTGAACTTAGTGTTACTGTGCAGACAAGATGAAATGTAAATTTCATTTATGATAAAATTTTTGCTTTATCCATTTATAAAAAGTGCGTGAGAAAGGAGTAACATAGACCGGGAGCGTGCAGACGAGAAGATTTGGGCCGAAGTAACAGAAGAAAAAATTAACGTAATGGGGGCCGTCACACAGTTTGATCTAATATCGTTGGTTTGATTTCATCAGATGATTGTTGAATGTAATGTGCATGGGAAAACCAGGAAGTGAGCACAAAATTGTTGTTGAAAACTTCGTTTGTGTTTTGATAGAAGAATAATATTAAAATTATTTAACTGGATCAGGGTAGTGATTTTTGATGCGATCATCCTTCCATGAAAGTATGGACTGTGTTGGCCTGCACAGTAAGTGTTGAGGTCTTCAAAAATTATCTTTTGCCGTGGAGTTTCTCTGTCCTCAGCGACGTAAGAAAGGAAGGAGCTGTACATTCCCTTTCTCACAAGCAGTTAACTGCGTCGCTAGGTTTTTCTCTCGCAGCGTGTAAGTTGAGTTTGTTGCTGATCTCTGAGTGTGCCCTATAGACTGCATGTCTCAACTGGCTAATTTACAGCATGAGAAGTCTCCAACTTTCGCTGAATCTCAAATTTGCTGCCTAGGATTGCCAAACAATGAGTTTTGTGTTTTTTTCAAAGTTGCAACACAAAAATTGTAATTTTTTAAAATTTTATTATATACTGTAACAGGTCAGTTGAATTATGTGGTATTTTCTCAAGTTGGTGCATGACATTATTCCACATTTGTCCCCAAACAGAACATTGATTTTGTATTAATTACCAGACCACTGACTTTCCTGCACATAAAATTAAACCTTCCAGTAACTCAAAGTATCATCAGGTTATAGCAGACTAGTGAAAAGGTTAACAGATTATCCTTCTGAGTTTTATGCTCAAAAGTTAAAACCTTTCTTGTTTCTTTAAAAACTGCATTAGAGTACAGAGCAAGTAGCAGCTTTGATTGGCATATAGAAATACGTAATTTTGGTAGCATGCTGTGTCGTCGGCGGATCATTTGAGCTGCCGTGAGTTTTACGCATGCTGTAGCTTTACAGAAGAAAACCCAGCATCATGCATGTACAAAGTTTTTAGACTGAATGTGGCAGAATGCAGGAAGGCATCAAGTCGCGGTTGTTGCATGTCTGACGCATGCTCAGCACACCGCTGTTCAAGGATGTTTAGGTCACATGGTGTGCACTGTTCCAGATCATGAGGCTGGAGATCTGGAAGGAAAGGTGGGTAGGTGGCTGCACCACAGTCCGCATGCCCACATCCCGTTCTGCATCTATCGACACTGAGAGCGAACATGACGAGCCCTCCGATCTCCAACTGCACCTGAACAGCGGCTCTTCGAGCCCAGAGATGAGCCCCGCTGCAAGACACAATGGCGATGCAGCTGATCCGAGTCCGGAGGTCTGATACGAGTCACTCGAGCCTGTGTCTGGAGTGCCTCGTAGAAATCGTGTTTGGTTAGTTCTTGCTTCCTGTCCATTCCTGGTTTCCTGATCACCTGGTCCTGCCTGTGACCTCGGCTTTCGACCAGCAGAGTTTGCAGTTCGTGATGCGTATGTAAATGAGAAAGGGTTGAGCAGCGACTGGACCGAGGGTCGTGCTGTGGTAAGTTCTCATTTACATTACCTTCTCCTTTTACTTATTCCTGCACTGTAGTTGGTACAACTGTTCTCTGTTGTTGACATTCAGTTCACTCTGAATCCATTCTTTCCAATTGTATTCAGAGTTGAGGAGTATAAAGGTCAAATGTATTTATTCTGAGGGAACAAGACGGCTATTTGTGTTCCTATTTTATGTATATTCTGTGAGATGTAAATAGTGTATTTTGTGAAATTTTGACGCTAATTGAAGTTTAAGAGGACAGGTGCTGTCTGCATCATCAGTGTGTTGTTGTTATTATATGTATTAATTTATAAATGCAGTTGTAGAAGAGTTTCCAATGACCGGCATAACACGAGATTTGGTAAGGACGACAGTATTAAGCGTTACAGTATTCAGTGACCGGAATAGACTGCAGGATGCACATGTTATATGCTGCAATGGTGATGTGTTCATTGTGACGTAATGCGATTCAAATTCTGTGGCCCATGTTGCATGACATAGTAGCCACTACCACAAAATACGTCTTCTTCCCGTGGGTCTTGGCCACCTCTTTTGGGGGTTTCTTTGTCGAATTTGTGCATTTTTGAGTGAGTAGTGAGTGACAAGCCCACTGCCTCTGCACAGTTTCTACTCGATCCTGATTTGTGTTCTAGAGCCATCTAGTAGAGAATCAGGAGAGACGTGGATCAGAAATGGCCACTGAATTTTGTGTACGACAAAATACACGCGAGTTCCGTTGTATTCATGTATAAGTGCTCTAGTTTGGTCAAATTGAGATGAAAGTATTCCTAGGCATTTGGTAATTGAAATAAATGGGTTGCGTACAGTGGAGCATGTATATTTGTCACACTTCTTACTGCTACGGTAGGCAGCCTGCCAAAAGGATGAGTCGTGGAAAAGCAGCCAGTTTCAATCATTAGCACCACTTGTAGGTGGTTCGTCATGTTTGAGGGGATTTGAAGTCGGGAGACGGGGCAGGCCAAGCAAATAATCGTCTGAAATCTGATGAACATGCTTTCCATATGTGAAAATTCATGTCCTTCGATCTTTTTCTTTTGACGCAGTGACATTTTAATCACTTCGATGAAGTTATTTCATTGGAATCGGTCTACCAGAACACGGTTTTAATGCCTACTATCAGGTGATGAGAGGCCCGGTAAAGTTGGTAGCCTGAACGTACCATTGTCGGTCGCATACACATGTGTGACCTGTCATTCTGATATTACAGTTTGCGGCGAAGTATTATGATTATGTCGGAAGTCGGCTAGAAATATGAAATACTCACATTTTTAGAATAATTTGCTTATCAATAAATGTTTTAATTTGTAGCTATTATTTTATTTTGTATTGGGAAGTGTCAGAATCTGTAAGCATTGTACTTAAGTTTTTTAATAATTCTTATGTGTGTGCGAGTGTGTATGGAGTATTTAGGTTATGTTTGTCTCTAGTGTTTCTGCACATTCCATCCACTTTTGCCACAGGGTAGTTTCTTGGTAGCTACGGTAATTTCTGTACCTATGTGTGTTGTTAGTTGGGAAGTTGCCTGCCTTGCATCTAGGTTTCACTGATGTTCAACGTCTGGGTCCATCGGATATCTAAACTTTCTTTAGTCTTAATAAACAATGGGAACTTCGTGTATGCAATATTTAATGTGAGGAGAACTACCCATTCCTGTAATACCTGAACCAATCGTTGCGTGTCGTAATGTAAACTCCGATATTGGGAGAATTAGAATGGAAAGCTGCTTCTATGGCGGAGTGGCGTTGTGTGGTGCCAGCACAGTTTTCTTTTCAGGTATCAGTGTTTAAATTTTAAATTAGATTTTACTATGTCAGAAGGAATGGAGATCATTTAATTCTCTTATGTTCTACTCTGTTAGGATGAGTGAAGGGTTGACGTGGCGCCAGTTGTTTCTGACGATCGTCTAGCGGTCGCATGTGGAAGTTTTTAAGCGTTTGTGAGTTTCGAGCTTTCCAAAGCTGTGAAAATTCTGATTTTTGTCTTGTGGCTTGTGATAATGTTAATCGTGGAGTTGGTTACGAATATTTCATATGAACCAGTCACCTTCATCTTCAGAGTACAAGTACTCTGAAGATGGAGATTTGTACAGGGTGTGTTCATACCACATTTAATGAAACTTTAAATTTATTCTAAAAGTGATTAGTGGTTATAACTATCAGAAATATACCGACTAGGCAATGGAGAAAGTTACATGAAGGTGAACTCCTTTCCACCAGGTAATTAGAGCAATGAAGTTGAACTGAGATGTACTGGTACATCATAAGGGGAAAAATTAGAAATGCAGACAAAGTATTGTAAAGGGTGAAAGCTACTGCGTAAATTATATTATGAATGGAAGGATAATTAAGGTGTGAGTGTGTATGAGTGAGTACTGGCTCAAGATGGGTTGTAGGGTTAAATAATACCAGAAAATGGATTAAGTATGTCCTCAAAGAAATTTGGATTTAAGTAAATGATGCATTGGGGTCAACAGATTAAGGTGGCCCTCAGATCTAAACTGTTGAGTGGCAGAAATATAATATGAATATCGTGAATGCAAGGGTGGTTCAATAAAGACTAAGAATGTTTCTTAAAACATTCCTCCTTTATTCTTAATCATTACAAGCGAGTTCCTTTTCAAAATGGGCTGCCCTGAACTCGGTACGCTTATCCCAGTATTTTTGCCGCTCGTCAAAGACGCGGTTGAAGCCATTTTTGGGCATCATTTTCAAAATCACGGCACGTCGTTCCGCTATAACATCCATCACGGTGGATGTGTGACTTTGGAGGTGAGATGGGTGTAGCTTGTAATCAAGGTCACAGCTAAACATGCAGCAACCTGTCAGTGCTGCCAACCACTATAAATGAAAGTTCCCTCAAGTCTTCCAAAGATTTTGCAAATAAGTTAATGTCAGTGTTTATTGAACAGCCCTTGTATATATATTCAGAAAAGTCTGAGAACTTTTATTTCGTCTGCTTGAGTTGATTTAAAAAGGATCAGACTCTTTGAGTTACGTCGTTTCTCTTTTTCTCCCATGTAACTCTGTACTTTATGATGGAGGCACATTATTGTAACGTGTATGTGATATTATTACACTGTGCAAGAAACTAGCACTGTTGCAATATTTTTAGAAATAAAATATTAATTGAAGGCAGTGTTAAATATGATGAAGAGATCTTGCTGACCATTGAAGAGCCTTTCAAACTGTTCCACCTTTTTTTTGCCAGAACAGGACACTCATTGGCATAACTTTGTGGCCATTAGAAGAAAAAGATCAAGTTGTTGTGGTTTGTTTTTGTTTTTTGTTTTTTTTTTGCATTGGTAAAAACATATAAAATCAAAGTATGAGCTCGTAACACCAATTTGGGAGTGCAGAAGTTCTAAATTTTGTAAAATGCAGCGTACCAGCAGACGCCCCAATTCATAATCCTTAAAAGAGGTGAGGGAATTTGATAATTTCATGACTTCTGTGTGGAAGCATTTTATATGCAGTGAAGGATTGAAAGGACTGGGAAGAATGGAGCAAGTATTATACAGACACTGATTTGGAAGTACTGAGGAAACCCAGGATAGTGTTTACTTCCCTTAAGATTTGAATGAGATCCCTCCTGAATGCCATAAGACGCACCACAGCCGATCAGCCTTCTTGGATAGAGCGAGCAGTAAATATAAAGATGTGATGGTGTTGTAGTAGTCTTGAATTAAAACGCGCGTTCAGTGTTAAAACGACATGGCCACCGTGGACCATACACCTGCAGGTGAGTAAAAAGTCATTTACTGAGTTTCTCTTCTCCGTTCCTGAATTTGTTAGTGGCTTCATTATGATCCTACAGGCCACAACACTCAGAAAAATTTACAAGCATTTCCTCTGCCGCAGTCCTTCGAGAAGACCGTGCAGCTGCTTGCATTTCCAATTTCTTTACAAAAGTTTTCTACGAGTTCATCCATTGTATGCATGCTACATGACCCAGCAATGTCACCGTCCTTCAATTGATCACCATAATGTTTGGTGAAGAGTATAAATCATGGAGACCCTCATTATGCAATTTTCTTCAGTCTCCTGTCACTTTCCCCCCTGCTTGGGTCCAAATATTCTCGTCAGTCGGTGTTCTTCCCTTAATGTGCAGGACGAAATTTACCAGCCACATGAAACAACATAAAATCATTGTTTCTTGTGTTTGTAACCTTACGTTGGTAAATAGGAAGAAATGTGGTTCTGAATTGCGTGGTACCAAGTATTCTCGGAATTCAATCTGCTGTTTATTTATTTCTAAAATGCAGTTTTGATTTGTTAAATCCCAAAATGTTGTAACTGCCACAGTTAACGTTTAATATTGTTGTGTTTTAACTCTTAGGACGCCAATTTGCCATTGTTGAGCTTTTACATTTAAAATGTTTCGTTTTCTTACAACAGACTTCCATAAAATAATAGTTTTTGTGGCGTTTTTACGAAAATGAATCTCATTTGTTCCGTTGGCCCCGCCCAGTCACATGGGCGAGGAGTTGTGTGTTCGTGTGAGACAGATAATGTGACATCCGTCCGGCCTGGTGATGCAATTCAAGGAAGGAACGTGAATCCCAAGAGCTAACCGCAAGAAAAGGGGGAGGTGTTGTATATTTATGTAGAATAATCTAATTACGGGGAATCATAATAACCACATAATTAATTATAAGGTAGAGGTCGAGGGCCTATCCTTTTCTCTTAATATTAATTATAAGGTAGAGGTCGAGGGCCGATCCTCTTCTCTTAACGGTATCTGGTGAAAACCGCTAGCTAAATCTGCTGTCGTGTAGTACTGTGCTTTCCCTAATGCATCCAAAATCTCCGTTATCAAAGGTAAGGGAAATTAATCTCCTATCGTAACGTCATTCAACTTTCTAAAATCTATGACCAACCTCCATTTTTGTTTCTTCGAGGCGTCCTCTTTTTTCTTTACTAGAATCATGGGTGAGTTCCACGGACTACTTGAATGCCTAATGATTTTGTCCGATAACATCTGATTGGTGATCTGCTTCAACTCCCCTCTTAGGGCCTCCGGTATTCGGTAATTTCTGCTAGTAATGCCCCTACATGGATCAACACTTGGGGTGGGAATTGCGTGCTCTGCGGCTGATGTGGTTGTTAAATTGTCTCCTGGCAAATAGAATATATCATTATAATCTTCACATATCCTGACGATAGATCTCCTCTCCCTGTCACTCACGAATTCTTTCCTCTGCTACATCCATCCCTTTAGCACTAACGGCTGTTATTTGCACTGCCTTCTCCTGATACGATTCTAACTTTACTGTGGGTAAACGAACCCTTAACTCCAGACTGGTCGTATTCAAAATGCTTGTAAGACAAGTACCGCTACGAGCCGTTGTTAATGAATCTGCTATTATTACTCCTGGGGCTAACTCTCTTTTATCTATTAACCCAATTCCAGATTCCGGTGAATCTGTTGGTAACCCAACAATGGTCTAACATCTTGGCTTCAACATGACCCACGTTTCTTCGGCCTGCCCGACTGACTGCTCGTTTTCATCAAATTTTATCTTTACTTCTCCCATAGTGATTTCCTTACGACCATAATCTATCCTAGCGTGCCTGTTTTCAAAGAAATCCTTCCCTAAGATGCCGTCATAAGGAATAGACATTCCACCTCCTATCACTTCAAATGTATGCTCTGTTTCATATCCTTGGGTGCACAGCTTTATTTCAATCTCTTCTTTACTACGTCTGTTATGCCTTTCACAATTAGCGTTTTCTGTGGGTTGTATACAAGAACTTCCTTCAAACTCTCATACTCACACAAGCACAATTCTGCTCCCGTGTCAATCAAAAATTTCATTTTCTCTTTTTAAATCCGGCGCCTGTTTCTAACGTGACTGTACCCAATTTTTCGTTTCCCGATGCATTCTTCTTCCTCCATAATGACTTATCTTCCTTTTTACACACTCGCGATACGTGTCCTATCTCTCCACACGAATAACACTTAACTCTCGGGTCTGTACTACCCGTAACCATATGCGCACTGAACCCTGCTTCTGTACCGATCCCGGGTCCAGGACGTACTATTCCGAGGTTCATATCTCGGTTTGCAAACCTTGTTTCTCTAGAGATCCCTTTGAATGCATTCAAATTACTTCCTATTACTCTGCTGGCTACTTCTGGCCCCTTATTTTGTCTCTGCATCGTAAACCCTCTCTCTCTCGCTGATAAGATTGCTGACTCTTCGTCTAATGCTGTATCTATACACGCTGACAGCATCGCGCTTTCACCTTTTGACCTGACAATTTCCTTTCATTCGCTAACCCTTGTACAAAACATGCTTTTGCCAAATGATTAATTAATCCCATTGCACCTGCTACCTCATCCTCTGCACAGATCCTATAAGCTGCTTCTCTTAATTCTGACTGCATCGTGTCAATCCTGCTACTCCAAGATGCTATGGACCCGTGCACACCCTGTCTGCTACTAAACATTCGACAGGCATTGTAGTCAAGTGTTCTTTTAACACCATAATTTTCCAGTAGAATTTGTTTAACTTCGCGCCAAGTGGATGAAAGATCCCTAACCAACAACTTACTCCGAGCTTCACCTGTAGTTTTGGTTTTCACAAACTTTAACCTCGAGCGGTGATGTCTCGTTATCTCGCTGACCGGACACGAGGAAGACGGCAGCTGGAGCTGAAGTAACCCGACTTGCCTAGCCCCGGTTGCTGCGCGCTGCTTCCGGCATTGGCAAGTGTTATACAGCTTCCGTCTGCTGCGGCCTGGAACCGCTCCTCGGTCCTTCGTGGTCGACAGACTTCTCTCACAAGCCTGGGAGATGTTGTGGCGAAGTCCCTTTGGATTGGCCTTCCCAACTGGACCTCGTAGGATGATGATAAATAAAGTGATGTCGCTGAAGAAGATTGACTACGCTGCTGGCTTCCTGAAGATCTGAAGAAAACCTTGCAAACCCCACACCTGACACCAATTTTTGTGTTCCCCCTCAGGGGGTTGCTAGTCCCCCATCGGGCGCCTCCCCAGGTTGAGGATAGGGAAATGCTTCCCAGATATGGGTGGTACCGGGAAAATCAAATACCCGGGGCGGACAAAAACTAGCATAGTGGAGGGCAGCAGCGATCACTATTACCAACTTGAAGCGCAAAGGAAATGAGCAGCTTTAAGGGTTGTGGTACCGCGATGTGGAAAGCAAATGGAAAAACTACCACATTACTTTTTCCAGGACAGCTTCTGCCCAGCAGGAGCAGTCACAATGTGCATGATGCTTTCTCCAGAGGCAAAACAAACTAGTCCTCCATTCGGATCTCCGGACGAGGACTGTCTCGGGAGAAGGTATCAGGCAGGAGAATTATTTTAGGAAATTCGCTATAGGAACGTGGAATGTCAGGACACTACAACAGGGAGGAAAACAAACAACAAACGCTCAGCGTTGTTGGAGGTGCGAGTTAAAATTAACAGTTTCGCGCTATGTCGAGCGATCTGCGAAAAGGGAATCGCGAGGTAGTCGAAGAATTTATTCGCATTTACCAAAGCGAGCCATGTCTGTGGCGCATCAAATCAAAGGATTACCATGACATGGGGAAAGGGATGCTGCATACAACGGATTAGTGGAAAAAATGGAAGCAAATAGACCCAAGCGCCGATCATGATAAAGTGGCAAAAAAAATAAATAGCTTATTTTTTCACAGAAGTAAATTTCTTCAGATTTCTGGCAATTTGCTTTGCTGTTTTGACCCTGGTACGTGCTTGTTTTATTATTGCTTACTGTACATTCTTTGATTAGAGGGAACTCAAATAACGGATGTAGTGTTTGTTTTTAGTAATTACAAATTTAAAATTACATAATTAAAATACCATTATCATAACTGTGTGGAATATTATTTTTTTCTAATTAAGCATCTCTAAGTGTATATGTTCTTGGTGTGCAGAGGAAAACCATCCATGAGTTATCAGATGGGCCCAGTGAATGGATTTTTCTCTCCAATGGCAGCATCGTCAGCCCAGACTGGCAAATATCCTTGTGGGAGAGGTTTATCGGCCCGCACTCAGGTACGTACTCAATCATGCCAAAGGCCAGTTGTTATTTGGCTTGTGAGGGCGATGAAGTCTCTGTCTCAATTGAAATCTCGCCACCCAACCGTTCGTTTTGGTTGAAATTTGTATGTTTTCATAATGCTTGTGGGTGTGACGTATCGAGAGACCATAATGCATTGATCCAGTTACAGCGGTGTTAATAAGAAGTAGTAGATCTGCACTGTTTCAAAAATAAGTATAACCAAAAAGGTCACTTCATT